CACCCATCACTGTGAGCACCCACCCACCCAGCACCCATCACTGTGAGCACCCACTCACCCACCCAGCACCCATCACTGTGAGCACCCACCCACCCCGCACCCATCACTGTGAGCACCCACCCAGCACCCGTCACTGTGAGCACCCACTCACTGATCCACCACCCATCACTGTGAGCACCCACCCACCCAGCACCCATCAATGCGAGCACCCACCTAAACCCATCACTGTGAGCACCCACCCACCCATCCAGCACCCATCAATCCGAGCACCCACCTAGCACCCACCACTGTGAGCACCCACCCACCCAGCACCCATCACTGTGAGCACCCACCCATCAATGCGAGCACCCACCTAAACCCTTCACTGTGAGCACCCACCCACCCAGCACCCATCAATCCGAGCACCCACCTAAAGTCAGCACCCATCAAAACCCAGATCTTGGAGAAGTGTAAATATAATACAATAGTAACAGTAGTTCATTTCACCTTCCCCAGTATGAACTGGAATAGACAGAGTACGAAGGGTACGATGGAGTGGAATTCTTAAAGTGGATATACGTAGCCCTTTAAGCCAGGACTTGGGATGTCCTACAAGAAAGTGGGCAGGTGCTGACCCTGAGTTTAGAAAGTGAAGCCAGGCGAGTGGTGGATGTAGCAGTGGGGGGAGTATTTCAGCGATAGCGATCACAATTCAGTAAAAGTTGTGGAAAAGGACAGAGATGGTGTGGAAACAGGGTGGCACAGTGGTTAGCACTACTGCCTCATAGCGCCGGGGACCTGGGTTCGATTCCAGCCTCGGGCGACTGTCTGTGTGGAGTTTGCACATTCTCCCCGTGTCTGCGTGAGTTTCTTCCGGGTGCTCCAGCTTCCTCTCACAGTCCAAAGGTGTGCAGATGAGGGTGGATTGGCCATGCTAAATTGCCTGTAGTCTTCAGGGATGTGCAGGTTAGGGTGGATTGGCTATGCTAAATTGCCTGTAGTGTTCAGGGATTTGTACATTAGGTGGGTTATAGGGGGATGGGTTTGGGTGGGATGCTCTGAGGTTTGGTGTGGACTTGTTGGGCCTGTTTCCACACTGTTGGCATTCTCTGATTCTATAAAGTAAAGCTTCTAAACTGGGCCGAGGGATGGTGGGTTTCTGGCGGGTGAAACAGGATCTGGGAGCCATGCCTGGAAGTAATCAGAGCGATGGGAGTCGTTGAAAGAGAAGAATAAAGGGAATGTTACCATTATCACACTCATCAGAGATGGCCTGGTGCTGAGGGTCACTGGGCCTCAGCTGCTCGTGGTTCTGCCTCATCATTGTCTTTCCGGCCTGGTAAAGTTTGTTTTTGGTAGCCCTGGGCCTCATCCTGCGGGACCCGTGTATCTCCGTCCTCGCTCCATCTCCGGCATCGGAATCCGAGCCAGGAGCCCATCAGTTGATGTCTGCCGTCAGGAGGAGACGCGGGCCCTGCTGTGAGCACCCATCACTGGGAGCACCAACCCACCCACCTACCCACCCTCTTCAGCTCAGAAGTGATGGCGCTGTGTGGAAAAGGAGCATGTGGCTGGGAACCGGGGGGAACAATGATGTTGGATGGCAGCAACTGGAGGAGCAGAGAGGGTGAAGTCTACGAAGAAAGAAAGATAAAGTTTGGAAGCTGTTTCAGTTTTGGTAATAGTAATTTAATAGTAATTTAATAGTAAATCATTCAGTATTTGACCATTTATTGAACTTATTCACTAATTTATTAGGCAAGATGGCGCTGGAATATTGGTGACATTATCCACTTTTCACCGTACCTAGGTAAAAAGTGACAACATAAAACAAACCTTAAATATTTGCAAAGGTGGGACCTTCATGGTAACCTCAACCAGTACAGGAATCTTGGGCATCACTCCACGTTGCAAACCAGCGTCCAGCTAACTGAGCTAACCAACTCTCCCCTCTCCAACACCCCACCCCAACAAATACAGAGAAATAAAATGCAGGAGCAACTTTTGTAAACGCGACAGGTGGGCCCAACAAGTCTGGAAAACGAGGAATGGCTGGAGAAACTCAGCAGGATCTGGCAGCATCTGTGCAGAGAGAGACAGAACGGAGCTAATGCTTTGGGTCTGGTGAACCTCTTTCAGAACAGACCCAGAGAACCCACGCTGCAGCAGGATTGAAAAATAACGCCAAAAAAAAGTGAATTTTATAGTAAGTACCGAGGGCTTGAAACATTATGAAAGTAATGAAGAGAGTAAACAGCAGCATAGCAGGTCACATTAAGGAAAATCCAATGCTCTCTGAATATATTAGAGGGGAGAGAATAACCAGGGAAAGAGTGGGAACCACAGCAGCAAACTGTGTTTCTGGAGCTCGAAGACCCTGGAAAGATTTTAAATGAGTGTTTTACAACTATATTCACAAGAGAGGAGGGCAACATGGGCATGGAAATAAGGAGAGGACAGTTGCAAAGTTGAGGGAGGTATTAGTCGATTTTGAAAGCAGCTAAATCTCCAGGCAGAAGTGAGTTGTACCCCAGGCTGCTGTGGGAAATTCCAAGTGCTCGGAATTTAGCTCTCTCTGACTACGGAGGACAAGGGGACAGCTAATGTGTACCATTGTTCAAGGAGTGTACCGGAGATAAACCTGGAAACTACAGGCCTGCAATTCGAACATCCGCGCTAGGGAAACCATTGCGCGGAAAAAAAATAATCTCCACTTGGAGAGACAAGGTTTGATCGATGATAGCCAGCTCGGCTTTGTGATGGGGAGATGATGTCTGACGGGTTTGAAGTTGTTGACAAGGTAACTAGATCATAGAGTTCCTACCGTGCAGACAGAGGCCATTCAGCACATTGATTCCACACAACCATCCCAAGATCATCCCAGCCAGACCTACCCCTCTGACGCTATCCCTGTAACCCTCCACCTCCCATGGCCAATCCACCCTAACCTGCACATCCCTGGGCACTATAGGACAATTTAGCATGGCCAATCCACCCTAACCCCCACATCCCTGGGCACTATGGGACAATTTAGCATGGCCAATCCACCCTAACCTGCACATCCCTGGGCACTATGGGACAATTTAGCACGGCCAATCCACCCTAACCTGCACATCCCTGGGACACTATGGGACAATTTAGCATTGCCAATCCACCCTAACCTGCACATCCCTGGACACTATGGATCAATTTAGCACGGCCAATCCATCCTAACCTGCACATCCCTGGGACACTATGGGACAATTTAGCATGGCCAATGCACCCTCACTTGCACATCCCTGGGCACTATGGGACAATTTAGCACAGCCAATCCATCCTAACCTGCACATCCCTGGGCACTATGGGACAATTTAGCACGGCCAATCCACCCTAACCTGCACATCTTTGGACTGTGGGAGGAAATCAGAGCACCTGGAGGAAACCCACGCAGATACGGGGAGAATGTGCAAACTCCATTTATGACGTCCCAACTCCTAGACTCAAAGGTCTGAGCAATGAAGGCAAGCGTCCTAAATGCCTTTTTAATCACCCTGTCTATGTGTGATGCAAACTGCAAAGAACCTGAAGCCCGAGGTCTCTCTGTTCTACAACACTGCCCAAGGCCCTACCATAAACTGTATAAGTTCTGCCCTTAAGTTTGTTTTACTAAAATGCAATACCTTGCATTTATCCAAACTAAACTCCATCTGCCACTCCTCAGCCCATCGACTCAGTTGACCAAGGTCTGCAGGATAGTTCTAGAGTGGAAGAAAGTCCAAAAATGTTCACTCAGCCAGCCCCTGGAATGCAGAATTTCTTTTTTATATAAGAAAAGGTTTGGCGGTGATTCTCATTTTGAGTTTAGGAAAATGTACAAGGTCTTTCTCTTTCAGATAGTCATTTATCTTTGGTATTCTGTTTGCCAGAAAGCAGTGGAGATGTTTGGGGTGGAGTTCAACAGATTTTGTTTTAATCAGAAGAGGAGGGGAGTGTTACAGGGATAAGGGGAAGGTGGGGTATGAGCAGGAAGGTGGAGTCAAAGTTTCAGTCAGGTCAGGAATGATTTTATTGTCTGGCATTGCAGGCATGAGGTGCCTAGTCTACTCTGGTGATACTACAGCTGATTGGTCAGATTTCCTCTGTGTTCATCCATTTCTGTCTGTTTGATTTTCTCTCTCTCCACTTGTCTCACTTTCAGTTCCAACTTCTTACCCATTCCCACACCCTCTCTATTCCCAAACTGACGTCTGCTCTTTCCCAAATCCCACTTCCCCATCTGTTCCCATTCCTACATTCTCTCTCCCAATTTCTATTTTCACATTCAGCCCCATTTTCTATGTTCTCTTTCTCTCCGCCATCTCCATTATCACATTCCCGCTATCTTCCTAAAGTTTCTTTCTCTCTGTCTCCCTGTCTCTATTTTTATTCTCCTCCAGTCTTTCTACACTGTCTCTCCCCCATCTCCCAATCTCCATTTTTCACATTGCCCCACTTCCCTCGACACTCTTTCTTACAATCTCTAATATTACATCTATTATCAGAGTCCTCTCTTTCTCTCTTATCCTCTCGCTCTCTATATTTCTCCCATCACTGTCTCCCTCTCTCTATTATCATATGGTTCGCTCCCTCTCATTCTCCATTTCTCTCATTATCACATTCTCCCTCTCTCTACTATCAGCTTCCCCCTTCTGCATCTCCCTATAATCACATTGCCCCTCTACCTCTATTATCATATTCTACTTCTCCCACCCAATTATCATATTCCCCATCTCCCTCCCTCTCTATTCTCGCATTCACCCCTCCCCCACTCTCTATTATCACATTCCCCCCTCCCCTTCTCTCTATTATCACATTACCCTCCTCCCCATCTATTATTATATCCGCCCTTTCCCTTCTCTCTATTATCACATTCTCCCCCCTCTCCCTATTATCACATTCCACCCCTCCCCCTATTATCCCATTCCAGCCTTTCCCTCTCTCTATTATCACATTCCCCACCTCCCCCTCTATTATCACATTCCCCCATTTCCATTATCACATTCAATCTCTCATTCCCTCTCTATTATCACACTCCCCCTGTCCGTCCCTCTCTTATCACATTCCCCTCCTCCCCCCTCTCTATTATCGCATTTCCCCCTTCCCATCTCTCTATTATCACATTCTCCCCTCCCCCCACTCTCTATTACCGCATTCCCCCCCCTTTATTATCGCATTCACCCCTCCTCCTCTCTCGATTGTCGCATTCCGCCCTCCCCCCTCCCTCTCTCTCTATTATCATATTCCCCGCTCACCCTCTCTCTATTATCACAATCCGCCCCTCTCTCTCTCTCTATTATCACATTCCACCCTCCCCCTCTCTATTATCACATTCCCCCTCCCCCCTATTATTGCATTCCCCCTCGCCTCTGTTATCACATTCCCCCCCTCCCTATTATCACCTTCCCCGCCTCCCCCTCTCTCTATTATCACATTCCCCGCTCCCTTCTCTCTATTATCACATTCCCCACTCCCTTCTCTCTATTATCACATTCCCCATTCCCCTCTCTCTATTATCACATTCCCCACTCCCCTCTCTCTATTATCACATTCCCCCCCCACCCTTTCTTTTATCGCAGTCCCCCCTCCCCCTCTCTCTATTATCGCATTCCGCCCTCCCCCCCTCTATTATCACATTCCCCCCCTCCCCCTCTCTCTATTATCACATTCCCCCTCCCCCTCTGTCTCTCTATTATCACAATCCCCCGCTCCCGCTCTCTATTATCACATTCCCCCCTCCCCCTTTGTCTCTCTATTATAACATTATCCCCTCCCCCTCTCTCTATTATCACAATCCCGCCTTTCCCTCTCTCTATTATCACATTCCCCCTTTCCCTCTGTCTCTCTATTATCACATTCCCCCCCTCCCCTACCTCTTTTATCACATTCCCCCCTCCCCCTCTCTCTA